GTGCATGTGCACCCATGTATCTTTTTAGTTAATTGCTATTGTGTGTTCTTCAGTTTGTGAAAAGGCTGGCGGGCAGAGAGCTCACATCTAAAAATAGAGTATGTTTACTCTGCTGGCAGCTGCTCAGTTTTTCTTTGGACTTTGCCCGTAGCAGTTGAGTCTCTGAGTTTCTCTTTGTACTGCTTAGCCCATAGTGTTGTGTGTGCTGAATAAATACTATTCCTTCTTCAACCAAGGCTCTAAGGACCTTTTTGCCAGTAACCTAGCTCATAGACCTGCATGTAAAGGGTTTGTGAACAGGCTTGAGGGGGTCTGTGAGCTCCAGACCCTAGCTCTAGCTCTACAATTATATAGGCAAGATTTTCCTTTTCTATATATTATGTTAAACATAATCCTACATCACAAATTGTTTTAAAGGGTTCAAGGAAAGGAATGATTTGACTAAGTTTTAATTTCAACGTAGTTTTTATTTCAACCAGTAGTAACACAGAGCCTAGCTGTTTCAAAGCCATTGCTCAGGTTACAAATCCAAAACTTTTCATATAATTTAATCATGCATTGTATATGAAGAGCTTGAATACATTTGTTTGCATAAAAAGCCAAATAATCATACACTCATACAATGCTGGTAGTAATATATTTAAATTGCTACATGACTTTGAAAAACAATTTGGCAATATGCATCAAGAACGATATATGTTCATACCCTTTGATTTGGTATTCTAACTTCTACCCTGGTTAAAAAGTACGGAAGAAGCCTACATGCATGAATATGTATGTGTGTGTGTGTGTGTGTGTGTGTGTGTATATATATATATATTTTTTTATTTTTTTATTTTTTTATTTTTTTTTAAAGATGACCGGTAAGGGGATCTTAACCCTTGACTCAGTGTTGTCAGCTCCACGCCCTCCCAAGTGAGCTAACCGACCATCCCTGTATAGGGATCCAAACCCGTGGCCTTGGTGTTATCAGCACCACACTCTCCCAAGTGAGCCATGGGCTGGCCCTCACAATATTTTTTATAGTAGTGAAAAATGAGAAGCAGCCCGAATGTGTGACACAGGGCCTGAGAAGGTAAATTTATGGTCATAGCCACTTAATATCATGAAATTATTAAAATATTCATTGGCAGACCACACATGGAAAAAAAAATTTAAAGTTGAATTTATACTATAACTACTTAAAACATAAATACATACAATACACAAAAATCATAATAGTTGTGTCAGAATTATGGATTATTTTTCCTTCTTTTTTCAAAAATTCCTCTAGACATTTGTTATTTAAAATTAGCTTAAATATTAGAAACGTTTGCTTAAAATTTCTAAAGTCTTAGAATCACATATTATTGGCAATCCATGCTAAAATGGCACATAAAAATTTCCATTTGCTAATGTTCTGCTGTTGGCAGACACAGTAAATTTTTTAACTAAGCAAATGTCAATTGTTGCTATAGCACTTCTAAAATTAAAATAAAGCTACATAATAATTGGCAGGGGTATTCTTGGGTAAATGTGTAGAAAAGTCAAAGACTGATTAAGAAAAGGAAATGTCAACCTTCCCAGTCAGTGACAGGATCCCAACCAATGTTGAGTTCATACTACGTGGAAGAACAGCACTAGTGGGAAAGACACTAAATAACTAGGGTGAAATCTGAAAAGCACTTGCAAAGGAAACAGCAGAACAGGGAAAGATTTTGGAGTAGGAGGAGGTATTCCAGGTAAAGTAGAACAAAGGGCAAAAGTTTTTTTGTTGTTGTTTTTTTGTTTTTAAATCTCTGTTCAGAGAGCAGAAAAATTGAGTGTCTTGACTATATAGATCAACTGCAGGATTTGGGTAATAAGAGGTTGGTCAATGGAGGCTGAAGATCATAGTTTTTATTCTGAATGCAGTGGAGAGACTGAAGATATTTGAGAATGACAAAATCTATGTTGATCTAGACTCTGAACTGTAAGGGAGATGAGAGTAAGAGATAAGCTGTGAGGTCTCTGCATAAACCAAGACCTTCATTATATAAAATTATCTGGATTAGTACCTCCAGAATACATATTACTTTAGAAAAGATTTAACTAACCATTCTAACCAAGTTTTAGATGATTTTTGGTGTTCCTTAATAGAACTGGCACATAATATTGAATCAGATTGCAGTGGATTATTTTTTAACCGTGTGGCCAGATGCAGAGAAATATGTAAAGACATTGAGGCTAACAAATAAGTTGACAAATGCATATTCTCACCAGTAAAAGAATTTGGAATTCTAGAAGAGGGCAGATTATCAATAGCTGTATCCAGGTCCTTTGGAGTGGTGAGTTATCTTAAATGACGATTTTATAATAGCTCGCCAGGAAATAAAATCATCTAAGTATAAACTGCCTTTACCTTCTGGGCAATTGGGATGTTGCTGAACAATAATCGAGACCATAAAAATATCTGTATGACTTTTAGACAATATATAGTAAAGAACAAAACCCACAAAAAACTACGAGTATGAGACTGAACAACCGACAAGATGACTACAGTCTTTTTTTTTTCTGTTTCCACTAGCATAAAATAATTCAGATTTTCAAAAAGTTTCTAGTCCCAGGCAATATCACTATCCGTTTAGAATGCGGGTTCAGGCCCAAAGCCTTTCTGACTCAACAAAGGAGCTTAAGAGGATGCAGACCTCATCTTAACAGTTGGCTCTAAATTGCCAGATAGATTTGGCAGTCATCTAAACATTTCACAGCTAACTTACTAACCAAGTACCCTCAACCACCAAGCTAGCAGGCCCTTCATTTCAAAAGCAAATCTTGGGGAATGTTGAAGAGCGGTCATTGCAAATGGGGAGCTATTGACTAAAGGGCACTAAGTTTCAGTTAGAGAGCATAAATAAGTTCCGGAGATCTATTGTACTGCATTGCCATTATAGTTATTAATAATGTATTGTACATTTGAAAATTACTAAAAGTGGATCTTAAATGTTCTGACCACAAAAAAAGAAGTAGTGAGGTGCTGGTTATGTTAATTAGTTTGATGTAATCATTTCACAATGTGTACGTCTGTGAAAACATCACCTTATACACCACAAACATACACAACTTTTGTCAATTATACAAGGGTACTTCAAAAAGTTCGTGGAAAAGTGGAATTAAGAGACAATACGAATCTTCCCACGAACTTTTGGAAGACGATCTCGTACGTTAATAAAGCTGGCAGCGGGGGAAGGGAAGCAATCCCTTTTCGGGCACCAAACGATTGCCACCGGTGCAGAGCAGACATGGAGAAAGGAGCACCGCGGCGAGTTCACTCGTAGGAAGCGCGCGGCTGGCGCATCCCTCCCAGGGAGCCCGTCTGGCTGCTCCAGAAGGGAGGGCGCAGGCAAAGGAGGCCTCGGACGCCTGAGGCCCAGCGGCCTGTCCCCTCCCGGCGTCCCCGGCTGCCCTCGCTCCCAGACAACGCCGTCTCATTTGCGGCCTTCCGACGCGTGACCCCGGCGCGCTCGCGTCCCGGACCGGTGACAGGTGCGGCCCGTCAAGCGGTCCCATGTGCCCCCTCCTGCTCGCGGCTGCCGCAGTCGCCGCGCCCCGAACCCCACTCCGGCTCGTCGGCAGAGGGCTCGTCGCCGCCATGTCTACCGCCAAGCCACTCAAATCTGTGGACTACGAGGTGTTCGGGAGAGTGCAGGGTAGGGGACCCCCTACAGTGGGAGGTCAAGGAGGTGTTCTGGGAGGAAGGGGCGAAGGCTGCGAGGAGCACCTGCCATCTTAAGGAAGCTCTTTCTCGCTGGGGCTGGGACTTCCGCCCGGCCATGACACAGCAGCTGCGGGGTGGGGGACGGGGGAGGCGCAGCGCGCATGCGCCGGAGGGCTGGGGGTGGGGTCGTATAACT